CGGTGCTGGTGCTGTGAGCTGGCTGTGCATGTGGTGGAGACAGGTTGCTGGTGCTGGTGCTGGGCGCCGGTGCTGTGAGCTGGATGTGCACGTGGTGGAGACAGGGTGCCGGCGCTGGTGCTGGTGCTGCGAGGTGGGTGTGCACGTGGTGGAGACAGGGTGCCGGGTGCCCGTGCTGGCGCGTGGTTACCGGGTGCTGGGGGGTTGGTGCTTGGTGCTGGGTACCGGTGCTGGGTGCTGGTGCAGGGTGCCGTGAGGTGGCGTGCCGGTGCTCGGTGCCCGCTTCTAACAGTGAAGTGATAACAACCGCCGCTTCTGACAGTGAAGTGCCAGCAGTCATGGGCCGCATGAACTTATGCACGCAACATCATACGGTGTTGTCGCTTGAGCGCTCTTTGTCTATTAGCGCTGTGGGGTATTTACACTCTTCAGGTTCTGTTTTGGCCGACAGCTGTGTCAAGGGCTGTACTGTTTGCGCGCGCACTTTTGTACGTATAATGTTCTATGCGCAACGTCAGGCTCTCAACCGACCGCATGTTTCAGAATGCTACACACACAATAGTCATGCTGGATACTGCCTTGCCTTGGGCGAGTGAGGCCTACGGGCTTTGGAGTTTGTGCGCATACTTTTGTGCGCATAAACTTATACGCGCAAGATCATACGGCATTATCGTTCTACAGATCGTTGCTTCAAGCATGCCACAAAATCAATAGTCGCGCTGGATACTGCTTGGTGTTGGGCCAATGATACTTACGGGCTTTGCTGCTTGCGCGCATACTTTTGTGCGCATAAACCTTTACGCGCAAGATCGAACGTTGTTATTCCGCAAATAGGGATAGCTATGGGGTTCTTGCTGCAAATAGGAATCAGCTGGCTGCGCGCGCTTTTGAAAGGGTGTCGGTGCTGGTGCTGGTGTTGTGGTCCTGGGTGCTGGTGCGGTGTTGTCAGCTGGCAAAGCGCACCGGTGCCGGTGTCAGCTGCATGTGCGCGCTGTGGAGGCGCCGTAAGCTGGCTGTGCATTCTTGTTCCAGCCAGTCTCATGTCAACAGGTCGTGGGATTCTGCCTAGCTATCTGGGTCTATGCTGGTGTAATTTTAAGCAAGTACTGGAGGAACATTGTTTTGGCCCATCTGATCCTAGGTATGGACCTTTCGGCTCCGAGCATGGACTTTCAAACTCTCCTCTTCTTCCCCCACTCTCCTCTTCACCCACTCGTACTTCCAGGGCGCGTTCTCGTTCTTCTTCTCGTTCTTCAAAGCGCTCAAGGGGTCCATCACCGTTTCATCGGACGCGTAGCTTTTTGTTAGTAGTCATGCCGGGAGTGCCCCGTTCGTAGCGTCCATGCTCCGTTCGTAGCAATGCCCTTTTGGCTCCTAGTAGCTTCTTGTTCCTAGTAGCAAGGCCCGGAGCTACTAGTAGCAATGCCCTTGTTACTAGTAGCTTCTTGTTCCTAGTAGTGGCTGTTGGCTGCTGAATTGCAGAATGGGGGGGCTATGGAAATGGATTTTGCGATTGAAGTTGCTGCACCTCTTGGTCCGAAAATAACGACTGGCAAATGTCAAGCCAACATGAACCTTGTCAGCTCCCTGCTTTCACAGAGTTGGTGTTCTTGGGGTATCTGACGAAGAAATGACGACAAACATCTCTTCTTCAACTTGTTCATGCTATCACACGACAATCTAATCAGCGTATCCTTCCTTGACATCTGAGCACGTCGCGGTGGCTGTGTCACCTTTGCAAGCTTATTGCATCGCAGCTCCGCAGAGTTTGCTCTGCGCAGCTATGAGTAAGCCGCAGGCGATGCAGCACCAAGACCAAAGCGCTGGACAAATTGTTGGCGGGAATAGGTCGTGACAACCCCGCCCCAAGTAATGGACGCCGCTGTCAAATTTGACATCTGTCATCAAGATCAGTAGGCAAACTGACTGAGCTCCTCAACAAAGAGCTTTTAGACATGAGACACCACGTCTTTTGGCAGCTGTGAGCATTCATGTTGCAGAAGGTGCATCCATGTATCCTGCTTGGCTTTTGGCCAGGCAACAAGGTCCCGGGAAGGTGGGCGAGGACAACCCCAGTCTCCTACCTTTGAGTCCATCTCCAAATGACTCCTCTCCCACCCTAACTCTCAAGCAAAGCACCCAGGACCAAGCGGAGACATGAAGCGGAAAAGAGGCTCACTGCATCCAGCTCAGGTTGCGTTCATTTGGCATCATTAACTGATGGCTGCAAACAAATAAGATCTAGGAGCGTGCATATGTTTGGACAACTTTCTACTTACCATTAGCTTGAACAATGTGAACATTCCAAGCTCACAAGACAAGTTGAAGTTCAAAACCATACTTTGCTTGACAGCTCGAACTCAACCCTTAGATTCTTTACAGCTGGACACATTTTGCAGCTGAGGATCCATTACCAAGAAGCACACTTGGCCTGCTTTGCAGCCGAGTGGCTTCAGTCAATGCGCCAAGGTCCAAGACAAGCAAACCGCTCTGCCCATCATGCCCATCCATACAATCTCCAACAGAGTAGAAGCTTATTTTTCACCTCAATTCTTGACCTACATACCAGGACCCAGGCGCCGCATATACACATAAATCTAGTCAAACCAAAAGAACATCTCACAAAGCTTGAGAGATCAGCCCTTCTAGTACTTCTCCCGAGTACGAATCTCTTCGACCTCTATACAACAAACTCCAACTCTTTCGGTCATCCTGGTTTGACCAGACAAGAGAGAGGCTCACACAATCCTGGTTCGATTGACCTCCTCCCCCTCCTCAGTGTCTGCACGACTGCCTGAGCTGGTGTTATAGTCAGACCGCTGCGGTCTGAGTGGCCTCATCCCCGGCTTCCACAGGAGCCGAGATCGTGGGCGCGGAACTCTCCACGGCGCTTTTGAGCTTTTCGGGCTCAGTGGTGAAGGTAGAGGAGTTCCTCGCGAGCAAACACAAAACACCTAGGTTGGAGGCCATCACTTCGAGGTTGGCGGCCATCACTAGTAGGTTGGAGGCCATTGCTCTTAGGTTGGAGGCCATCGCTTCGAGGTTGGAGGCCATCGCTTCGAGGTT